CGCCCCCTGCCCGAGGGCGCCGGGGCCATCGGTCTCCTCCACGTCTAGGTGCAAGTTCTGGGTCCTTACGCCAGAGGAGGAGTTCTCCTTGTGCGCCAGCGAGCCCCGGGGCCGGGTGAGGCTGCGCATCAGGGACCTGGGTGGCCGGGAGCTTGGCGTCTCGTGGAGCAGCGACCTGACCCGCGTCCCATCCTGCTAGGTGGTGTGGCAGTGGAAGGTGAGCCAGGCTGTGTGCCAGGCCCTTCGCGGGAGGAAGGACTTCCCGGTGCTGGGGGCCGGCCCCGCGGCCCCTGAGCCCCCTGCCTGCCGCTCTGCAGCCTACACCTTCCGAGCCGAGGGCCACCTCTGCGGGGCCACCTATGATGGGGAGTGGTGCTTGGCCCGGCCCCACGGCAAGTGAGTGGTGTCCGGGTTGCGCAGTCTCCATATGCAGCCCGGGTGGCTTGGAGCTCACAGCAGCCTTCCTGCCTCAGCCTCATTTGTGCTGAGATCACAGGCCACCCTGCCCAACAGCGGAACAGTTCTCACCTTGTGGTGGTATGCAGGCCCCCCCCAGGGGCAGAGCTCTCACCTCTTGCAAAGGTGGGGAACACTGAGGCCCAGAGACTGGCTTGATTTGTCCTAGGTCCCGGGGCAGGTTATAGGGTGGGCCTGGCCTCAGTCACAGGTCTGTGTGGCTCCACAGGCAGGATGGCCTTTAAAGGGCAAGTGGCCCAGCTACAGCTGGGGACTGAGTCAGAGAGCTGAAGGGATGCCCAGGGCTATGCTGTCAAGGATATCTGTGGTTTGTCAAGACCTTGCCTACTTCCAGAGATGGTCTGGGGGGTGGGCGTGCATAAAAAGACCACAGTGTGATGCCTCACTGGGAGAGAGGAGGAGGGTGGAGGAAGCTTGTAAATCAGCATTTAGCTCAGGTTAAATTTAGCTCTGAGCTTCCTGGTGGTCAGAGGGAAAAGGGAACCCGGTGTCTCTAGGGCTCCCATGGGATGTGGTGAGGTAAAAGGGGGCCAAGGGATCTCAGAGCCCAGAGGGAGGGCTGGATGGGGTTGGGAGGACGTCTGTGGAAGCGCATGGTTGTGTTGCACTGGGTCTGGTGGCCTGATGCCTGGGGGTGTCATCCACTGTGTTCCAGGGGGACGCTGAAGTGGCCGGATGGACGGCATCACGTGGGGAATTTCCAGTGGGGCCTGGAGCACGGGTGAGGCTGGTGGGCAGACTCCAGGGTTCATGGGGTGGGGCTCCCCTAAACCCCAGACTTTGAGCAGGATCAGAGACCGGGGACCGGGGCCCCTGCATGACCAGGAGCCAGATGGGTCTCAGCTCCCCTGGGGAGGGAGAGTCCTGGCGTCCGTCTGGGCAGCAGGGCGCACTGACCTCCAAGCCCCCACGTGCCAGCTTCGGCGTCTACCTGGTGCCGAGGGCGGCCGAGGACCAGTTTGACTGTTACAAGGGCCACTGGCAGGAGGGCAGCATGCATGGCTATGGCATCTGTGAGTAAGTGACCCTCATGGGGTCATGGGCGGGACGCCCCTGGGCCGTGTGGGGAGCAGGGCCAGCCATCCGTGCCCCTGCAGGTACGGCTCGGAGGAGGTGTACAAGGGCTACTTCCAGGCTGGCCTGCGGCACGGGTTTGGGGTCCTTGACAGTGCCCCGAAGGCCCCGCAGCCCTTCCGGTACACAGGCCACTGGGAGCAGGGCCAGAGGAGTGGCTACGGTGTCCAGGAGGACAGCAGCAGG